GCCTCCCTGGGCAGTCGGTCCCAGTGTCTGACCTCTCTTTCCATGAAGAATTTCTTCCTCATGTCCAGCCTAAACCTGCCCTGTTGAAACTTGCAACCATTCCCCCTGGTTCTGTCCCTAATTACCTGTGAGAAGAGACCAGCACCAACCTCTCTACAATGTCCTTTCAAGTAACTGTAGAGCATGATGAGATCCTGGACACTGACACAGAATCACAGAATCATAGAATGGCCTAGGCTGGAAGGGACCGTAGAGATCATTTTAATCCAGCCTCCCTGCCGCCAGGGACGCCACCTCTCGACTAGATCAGGCAACACACGGGGACCGAACGGGAATCGAACCCATGACCTTAGCATTGTTAGCGCTACGCTCAACTGACTGAGCTAACCAGCCCCCTCGAGTGGCAAGTCCCGAGAGACCAGATGATGACTCCCATCAAAAAAAAAGAAAAAAGAAACAGATTCAAACCAATTCAAACTCTTAAATGCTCTGAATGAGGGGCAAGGAAAAAAAAAAAAGGCATACATAAAAAAGAAAGAAGAAACAATCCTATTTTTTTTATATAAGAGGCAGATGCTTGGGAAGAATAAGGTGGCAAGATTTGGCGGCTTGCATGGGAATGCCCCATTTCCCAGCTGAGCAATTCGGAACTCAAGTACTACAACCTGTGACAGTTCAGGTAACTCCTGTTAATTAGCAGATCTCGTTAGCTGCAGTCAGAAGGTAAAGTAGTCCAGCATTGCCCCTCTGCGCCAGAGGAAACTAGAATAGATACATCCCACGGGCACTGTCCTGCTCTCGAGGCTTCCACCGTGGTTTAATTACACCAACAGACTTCCTAGACAAAGCAGTATCATAAACTCTACAAGTTTATCTTCGGTGTAAAATTGAACATAAGTTCAACGCCAGGGGTTAGAGGGAGTACAAAATCAATGAGCTGAATTTTAAGGCTGTCAGACAAGGTATGGAAAGATCCCTCCTCTGTTCTTAACGTAAATGAAGTGATTCTTCCATTCAACTGAAGCTAGCAGAACTGCAGTGTCTTATGTAGTTCCTTAGCGTAGCTTTTAGACATCAGACATTTTCCAGCAAGAAAAAACGCATTTTTAGAGAATGTATAAACAAGAAACTGCCCTAGAATTAAATTTTCCTTATATAGAACAAGATGAATTCTATCACAATATTCACTGCTCAGTCATGCTTTACTTTCTCGCTTCAAAGTGAAGACTGAGTAACAGCTGCCCCAATCCCAAACTGCTTCAGACAAAGTTTTCAGCTACTAACTTTTTAACAGAAAAATTCATATATAAGATTTTCAGTTTAGTTTGTCTCATTAATTTGGAAGTCTTTTGAGATAGAAGTATAATGAGAAACCCACTGGAAAAGACTATTCGTTTTTTATTGGGGCTAATTTCAGCAACAGCACTTAACAGAACCATTGCTCACCTGACCGAAATCTCTGCCACCACAACAGAGGCACCAGTCCTGAAATGCTACTGGGGACATCCGTTAGTTTGATTTGAGCAAATATTAAAGCTTTACAGCAACAGATTATTAAAATTGTCTTCAAAAAAGCAAAATCTGTGAACATCAAAGTGGAGGGGATGTTTTATAGTTTGGGGGTTTTATCTATTATATGAAAGCAAAATTTATTTAAATGCATAAAAGGATCAAAATTATTTTGAGGTACCGAGACCAAATCAACAACTACGTCAGCAGAACTATGCCCAAGAACTTCGACAGAGAAAACAAATAAAAAAAAAATCTCCCCAAAAAATTAACAGAATTTTGTTGCTTCTGTACAGCAAAAGAAGTGCAGATTTCATCAGAAATGGTCAGGACTTGGTTGGGGAACAAACCACAACCAGGAAAAATCACACAACAGAATTAGCCAAAGCACAGATTTCTCCTTAACAGAAGCCTGGAACTAATGTACATCAAAAATCAGTCCTTTCCATTCTGCTCTGATAACTCTCTTACCAAGATTAGTTTATACAGCGGCAAGTTCTCCAAATACACATGTAGGCTTTCCTTACAACCTTAAAGAATGTTCTTATTTAAAATAAATTAATTTATATCTTCCTCATTGTCTGTACAGTCTCCTATCAAAACTATTGAAGTTTTTGTTTTGAAAATTTCTTGATACAGGCCCACCAATTATTTAAGGAAAAAAACTATTTTCAGTATTTTTTGGGAAATTTTAATTTTAAATGCATGTATTTATGCATTAAAAAAAACATTTCACAAGTATGAAAACAGAGTTACAACAGGCAAAATTAAATCTTTAGCTGGCATAATTCTTTTCCACACAACATATGGATTAAGTCTGAAATTCTTTTTCCAGACTCAAGAAACACAGTCCTAATAAGGGCACGTGATATGCTGGGGGTAGGAACTCTGCAGCATAAGGTGACTCAGTCTTTTTGTTCTTTCATTATATGAAGGGGAAAAAAATAATTTGGTCCTGAACAGGACCGAAGACAGCAAAAACCTTCTCTAGAGTCAGAGGAAAACCCTGCGGCTCTGTGTCTCTCATATACTCATTGGAACACCTCAGAAACATCTGCACTACCCGCTTTGCCCATTTTGTAAAAAGATCTACCACAACCTTAGGTAATGAAAGGTGAGCTACAGTGTGATCCTGTGACACTAAACCGACACATTTCCTTTTGCCAAGGGGTAGGAAGCAATTCCCAAACCACCCACGAACCAGCTCATCAGCTCCCAGTCCCCAGGGGGCACCTGGCACAGCTACTCTATAAGCTGTGTCCTCCTCAATTCTTGCTCTCCATACCTCCACTTTTTTTGAAAAAGCCAGGGGCCACAGGGAATAACCAGGGCCAGAATTGCTGCTGCCACAATCAACAGATTTCCCTTTGTCCTTCCCATAAATGGCAGAATCATGTGCTTTTGCTGAAGGAGTGAATAAATAAATGGTAAAATAAACGGGTGAAAGCAGAGAGTGAGAAGCAGCCGAGCTCCAGAAAGCTAAGAAGCCAAAGGCTAGCCACTAGTTGAACACTGACATCTTACACTGAGAGCAACAAGACAAATCATTTCCTTAACATACCACACAGATAATATCACTCTGGAAGATGAGCCTGAAAAGACTTAAATGGAGGCAACTATGTTCCAATCAGCAGCTTAATTTTTGCCTTTATCTACCAAAATCATAAGCCTCTTAAAGAGATCTTTCTATTTTCAAGGAAATTTTAAAAAGTTAAAACCACCACAGACAAAAAAAAAAAACACACAAAGAACTTTCTGCTATGAGGACTGGCAACTAGAATGTACATCACCAGCATTTTCGGTTTGCAAGAAAAAAAGTATTCACTGCACTTCTTACACATGTTCTAAGATAATCTCAAAAGTTATAAATTGAAGTAATGCAGACAATTCAACTGATTTCAAAGGAATTACAGCAAGTAACACAGCATAAGTCACACAGGGATTTGTGGCCTCGGAACATTAATACAAATTAAAAAACCAAAAATATCGGTTTGGGTACAAAGGTGCCACAAATGGGCAAGATGGTTATTTGTGGA